GTGTTCGTGGTGGTGTGTTTTGTGTGTCCCCCCCCCCCCCCCCCTTTTCATACTACTGCAGATGTCAACTCCGCAGTGGCCCACAGAAGACGACAGGTTTTGGTATTTAGCTGAGTCTATCAAACTTTAAAATACAAGGTGAAATTCAATATTTATAGTCCTCTTCTGTTTATATATCACAGTTGTCTTTCACTGCACCATGCAAACACTCTGGTGCCCATTTTTGCACTGAACTTTCCTGTATTAATCATGATAATTATTTGTCATTTTTCTTTGCAGCCTGCCTGCTCTATTACTTCACCCCGGTCAGCTTTGTGCCAGTTCCAATCTGTATTCCCTAGAAAGCAGTCATTAAATAAAAAAAAAAAAAAAACAAAAAACAACAAAACCAAACAACCAACAGCAACAACAAACCACCAAAACCATAAACAAAAACCAACAACAAAAAAACTTAATAACCTTAAACACTTAATAACCTTAAATACTAAAAGCTGACATTACATCTTCCTCCAGCCTTCATGTCTTGTTTCTCTTACAATCTACAAATAATGGCCCTTTGTTGATAAGAAACTCAACACAATTGTATTTCATCTTAAATTTTTGGTGCCAGCGCACAAACATGCAATAAGCCCCGCAATGTTTTAAAATAACCTTTGTGGTTCTTGCACATAAACAACATAACACTGTTCAAATCCAAGCAAAGACGCTTAATGCTGTGGGCTATATCCTTAAGCATTTGGAAAATGCAAGTCTGTGCTGTGCAATAAAAATTGATCCTTGCCAAAGCCCCTTGCCTGTACATAGCAGTTAACAGCTTTCGAGACAGAGAAACACACACCGCTTTCTCCAAAGTTTGAGCAAGTAAAGCCATCGCGACCCATAGGAAACGCCGGAGAGTTCCCCCCTTGTGAGGGTCAGCCTGCACACCCAGGCAAGCAGGTATTTTACAGCCAAAGCCCAACCAAGTCTCTCTCCGAGGGTTGTGTGTTTCTTCTCCGAGAACCTGGAGCCAGCGTTCGTACAAGTTTTATCATAAAAGCATGAAACGCGAAGGAAACGCTGTGACGCTGGAGCAGGCCACAGCAGGTAAAACAGAGAACCTCTTCGGGACTAACGCTTTGATGGACGTCTTCAGGGACGTGATCTAGAGGCAGTTAATACAGCTACACTTTTACTATCTGCATTTTCATCGCCTCCTCTTTTGGAGGGGTTCTTGCCACTCCTGGAAATATTTCAGCGACGGAATTTGCTTATGGGCTAAACAGACTTTAGCGAGCTCTTTCAGTCGACTTTGCTTTGTTTTCACGTTACAGATTTAAAGCAACCTTGACACCGCCTGACAAACGCTGTGAAGCTCTACATGTTGCCCATTTGGGATCTGACATGGAACCGAGGGCAGCCTACAACATTTTCAAGTAGATTAGCTCCTGTAAAGTCGCTATCGACAGTAAATACGATTGCTTTTTTTTTTTTTTTTTCTCCTTTTCCCTGAGCCCATCTGAGGTGCAATTGCATCTCCTGCACTCTGAATCGAGGGACAGCGAGCTGATGCTGCCGACCTGCACAAAGCTGTGCGACGGCTTGTGATCGGGAGAGCCATGATGACAAACGTAACAGTTGCATAAGAAGGCGCAGCTCATTAATTTACTCAGATTACGACTACACGTAAAATCAGTTGTTCAAAGCTATCCCTTTGAACGCTTTCATTTTCTAAGTCTTCAGTCCCCTTGGCAAACAATCTAGATTAAAGCAGAAAGGCCTCACATGCTCATGCTGTTCTTTGTATTTATTAACTTTTCACACTGAAGAGCTAGAGCCCACACGGGTGCTCACCCACCCACCCTCCCACCCAGACAAAACTTTTCAGCAAGAGAAGCAAGCGCTGCGACCTGGGCAGCTGCCGTACGGCTAAATGGGCCCTACCGGAAATCCA